CTCTATATATATATATATATATATATATATATATATCACCTAATAGTAGTTATCTTGTAATGTCTATAAATATATTTCTCTCTATTTTTTTTTTTTTACTTTTTTTTCTCTCAATAGTTATTTTGTACTGCATATAAATATGGGTTGATATGTATTGTAATTTTTAATTTTTCATTTTTTTGATTGAAATACTTTTGTATATTTTTTTTTTTTTTTCATTTGTTTAGTGCATGGTGGCTTTAACATATGCCCTTTCTTTGATGTAATTAGATAGTTATCTTTATTTCTCTTATGTTACTTACAAATTCTCTTAAACACATATTCTAAACTATCCACAGCTCTTTCTCCACTTCATAAGCATTCCTTAAAACTCCACCATTAACTTTATATGACAAGTTCACATCCTAATCTAACATTCTAAAATCATTTACAGTCATTTATCTTACATGAAAGTCGCTCTCTAAAGTGATCTTTCAAATCAACCAAAATTAAATTAGTCTTAGCATTTCTACTAATATACCCATCTAACCTCTCTTCGTCCCACTATAAATTTCATAACACTTTTCTAAATATCAAACTAAAGATCCATAGCCTTTTTTAGCCATTAATTTTACTAAGAGGCTATCTACCACCATCATATTTAATATCAGAGCGAATTTGAAAAAATACCCACTAGCTAGAACGTTTGAACAACTTAAGAGAATTTTCTCAATATGGAATTGGCTCCAAAAGCTTGAGAGTTACTCATGGGCGGATCCCCATACAAGTGAGGGGGGGCAAATGCCCACCCTCAAAAATTTTTTTTTTTTAATTTTAGAGGGTATTTTTTGGAACATTTTGGATATTTTGGGTATTTTGCCCCCTCTCAAAAAAATTTTTGCCCTAATTTTATCAATCCTAATCATTTTTGTCCATCCCCTACCAAAAATTTTTTTTTTGCCCATCCTAAAAAAAGAAGCTGGATCCGCCCCTGGAGTTACTCCAACAAGTTTGAGATAAGTAAATCATTCTTATGATATATTTATCTCATTTTAATAACTTGGATATATACTATATTAATTTTCAAGTCTATGGTGTATGCATGGAATACAATCAATGAGCTCCACCAATGCCTAACCAGAATCCCTATTTGAACCTACCATAAACTTTTTTCTTGAGTGAAAATTTATTAAGGGTGTGCTCCACCTCATGAAAAATACGACATTACCTTAATGCGTACAAAACTTTGTATAACCTTCTTTAATTGTTGTGTTAATTGTTTATAGTAAAACTAGTTGTTTATTTATCAAAATTTAATAGTTTGTCATCTTAAGGGCTTAGGCTTATAACTCTTGACATTTTTTTTTATTGCACTCAAAATTGCATGCATAAAAATATGTGTATAAAATTTAGCGTGTTTAAAGTTTAAAAGAACTTTGTTAAAAAGGTCTAAACGGCCTAACAAGAGAT